CTGATGTAGTTTTTGTGTGTGTGTGTGTGTGTGTGTGTGTGTGTGTGTGTGTGCGGGGAAGGAGCTTGGCGGAGTTCTGCACTGATGTAGTTTGTGTGTGTGTGTGTGTGTGTGTGTGCTGAAGTTACAAAGCCTTGGGAATCCAGGACGGAAACCTAGGTGCCCACAAGTGTCACCCCGCCTTATAGACTCACTGTCCGAAGGTGGGGAGGTGGGGGTCACCTGGACTGGTGACACCCCCCACCAGTCCTCGAGATGGGTGGGCTGCTGCTGTGGGTGAAGCCAGGCACTGGGGCTTCATGAGGTCGGCTCCCCTCGGGCCGGCCCTCCCCCTCCCCCTGCCTCTCTCATAGCTGGAGGGGCAGCTCCAGTTACAGTCACTTTCAGGAGGGAAGTTTGGGGGGGATCACTTTCCCATACAGGTTTCCTCATCATTCTTTAAAAAAAAAAAACCTTTATTGAGGTGTGATTGACATCCAACAAGATGTACATATTTAACATATACAGCTGGATTCTGGAGTTTTCAGGGGGTATTTTCGTCCTTGGTTGTTACATCAGTGTTTCTGTAGCGGCATAAGGGCTGGGACCTCCTAGTAATCCTATCTTGCTCTCAATTCTTCACCTACTTCTTCACTCGAGGTCTGGAACGCCCTCCATGGATGCACATTCTTGGTGGAGGGGGTGATTCACAGTATGGCCTGTGTAGCCAGGCTGACCTGGCCTCGAATCCTGGATCTGCCCTGGACTTTTTTTTTTTTAATTCCCATTATATACTGTTTATTCTTTCTTTAAAAAAAAAATTCATTTGGCTTCGTTGGGCCTTAGTCACAGCATGAGGGATCTAGTTCCCTGAGCAGGGGTTGAACCCAGCCCCCCTGCATTGGGAGCTCGGGCTCCTAGCCACTAGACCACTAGGGAAGTCCCAGCAGCCTGGCTTTGAACAAAGTGACTTAAGCCTTGGTTCCCTGGTCTGTAAAACAGAGATAATATCTACCTCCTGGAGCTGTTGATGATGAAATGAGGAAGGGATGCAGAATGCCAAGCATATAATTAGTGTTCAATAAATAGCCGCTGTTGTAATTATTTATTATTAGCTCGACACTGGTCTCACCTCACCTAGGAAGACCTTCCAGCCCTCCTCTCCCCCAAATTTCCTGAAGCACCAACGGGGATGCCTTTGGATATAATGTCCTCCCTTTCATTTAGCTAGTCTGTGCCCCAATCAGAGTGTGTTCCTCAGATTTCTTCTGCTGCCCTCTCCCCAGCACCTGAGACAGAGTCAGGTTCGGAAGAAGAACTCAAGGATGGAGAATGAAATGGTATGAAGACAAAGGGAGGGATTGAGCATGGAAGGCGAGAAGGTAGGGATGGAGGATGGGTAGCCTTGCCCAGACGTGAAGGACAAGGCTCTCCCAAAGCACAGGGTGGGAAGGGACTGCACAGGAGGCCATCAGCAGGGATCTGGGATGTCATCTGCATCCCCCGTGTCCTAATTTTTCTCAAACTCAGTTATCTCTGCTCCCCTGCTCAACCCAAGGAGGACAGTGCTTCCTGCCACAGCTAATATCTACTCACCCAATCTATCAACTGATTCAAATATTTTCTACACTGTCTAGGAAATCAATGAATATCTCCCCCCTCCCATCTGCCTCTCCAACCCCTACCCAAGGTGACCTCAGACAAGTCACTTCCGTTCTCTGGACTCCGTTCTCCGTTCTCTTTTCATCTATAACACTCGATTTTACTAGATGACCTCCAACATCCTTTCCCCTCCAGCATTCTCGAATCCATTTGCTCTGTTCTCTTGTCTATCTTGATACCTCACTTCTCAGTTACCCAAATAACTTAAGGTATTGATCATCATTCCTCCTTTAAAAAAAAACTCTCTTCAAGAAATTTATAAATGTCCACTAGACTCTAAAAGCTCCATGAAGGGTATTTCTCCCCCATGTCATGCTTTCATGATCTCAGTTCCCTGATCAGCAATCAAACCCATGGCAATGAGAGCCCGGAATTCAATCCTAACCACCAGGGAACACCCTTGAAGGGTTTTCTTAATCACTGCTTATTTCCAATGTCCGGCTCAGTACCTAGCCTGCAGCAACACTCAATAAATAACTGTTGAATAACTGGATACATGGATGGATGGATGGATGGGTGGTGGACGGATGGAATTGCCACCGTATGCCTCTGGGGAGTTATGAAACGCAGGGGGCCATGTTAGCAGCTGGTCAGCTTAAGAAAATCAAGGTCATCCCGAGAAAAACCTCAGTTTAGACAGCTGCAAGTATGTTATGAAACAAAAATGTCTGTGACACTGGAACCACCAACTTAATAACCTACCGCCCCTCACTTACCCACTCCTTTGTCATCTTTTCTGGTTGTTATTCGGATTCCAGGGGAGCTGCCCTTGGTCAGGGGCGTGAGTGTTTTTAGTCATCTACATGATAAGAAACACCTGGGGAGGAGAGGGAAGGCAAGTCCTAGGAGGAGAAAGGACTGAGCCTGACTGACAACATCCAGTGCCAAAGAATTGATGCTTTAGAATTGTGGTGTTGGAGAAGACTCTTGAGAGTCCCTTGGACTGCAAGGAGATCCAACCAGTCCATCCTAAAGGAGATCAACCCTGAGTATTCACCAGAAGAACTGATGCTGAAGCTCCAATATTTGGCTACCTGATGTGAAGAGCTGACTCACTGGAAAAAGACCCTGATGCTAGGAAAGATTCAGGGCAGGAAAAGGGGGCAACAGAGAATGAGATGGTTGGATGGCATCACTGATTCAACGGGCATGAGTCTGCCATGCATAGTGAAGGCCAGGGAAGCCTGGTGTATTGCAGTCCATGGGGTTGCAAAGAGTTGGACACTTCATAGTGACTGAACAACAACAGTCATTTATTGAGTATTTACTATGTGCCAGACTTTTCATTCAAGGCAGCTCACTTAACACTCTGGACAACTCTGAGAAGAAGCCAGTACTATTATTATCAACCCCACCTGAGAGATGGGAAACTGAGGCTCAGATAGGTTATGCAGACAATAGTGGGCATATCAAGGATTTGAAGCCAGCTTCAGGGTCTGAGTACTTGCACCCCCTCCCCTGGCCTGGAGGCCACACTGACCACCTCAGAGATCGAGGTTTGGAAACACCTGCAAAGGCTTTGGTGCTCCCACCAGGGTCCCCGGCCCCCTACCCCCACCTCTACATGTTTTTGCTCTTTGTTGGTTATGGGGTATTTTCAACTTGGCAAAATGGGCTTGGAACCAAGCTAAGAGGAAAGAGCGTCCAAAAGATCTGTGATTGAACCAATTCTCGTCTGTCCTCTCCCATTAACTAGTTTTGTTCCCACTATGTCATTTCTCAGTGGCTCAGCAGAAAAGAATCCGCCTGCTATGCAGGAGACGTGGGTTCAATCCCTGAGTCGGGAAGATCCCCTGGAGAAGGAAATGGCAACCCACTCCAGTATTCTTGCCTGGGAGATCCCATGGACAGAGGAGCCCGGCAAGCTACAGTTCATGGGGTCACAAAAGTCAGACACGACTGAGGGACTAAACAACAACGACAATGTCACCTCTCGGGTTTGGGGGCTCCCACACACCATTCTAGCTCTCAGCGTGTCCAGGGGGTTTGATGGAAGAATATATCACATCAGCAACCCCTCAGAAGGACGATGTGATCACGTGACCATTTGCTCACAGTCCTTCTAAAGAGGCTGTTCTAGGACTTCACTGGCGATCCAGTGGTTAAGATTCCATACTCCCAGTGCAGGGACATGGGTTCCACCCCGGCCAGGGAAGTAAGATCCCACACGCTGCCTGGTGAGGCCAATAAATAGATAAATAAATAAACAGGCTGTTGGAAATGAACTTAGATGACATAGCTGCGATACTGGGAACGCGTGGAGGAATGAGAACACTGGCCCTGCGTCACACACTCAAACAGGGGCTTCCTGTCAAATCATCACCTTGGGGAACTGCACTTAATCCAACAACACTGCTACTGCTGAGAGCATCCTTGGAGCCTCTCTTTAGCTCTCAGATAACATCTGAAACCCACCTGTCACTTCATGGTGACTCTGTCTCTTTGATTTAAAATAATCTCATGCCACTTGGGCATTCATTTGCTCTTACCAGACTGGGCGCTGGGTGACCTTTGGCCGTTTCCAAATAACAGACGTATCCTCGAGGGATGAAAACCTGCCTTCACAGAGGTTGATCGGAAGGTTCTCTCACAACCTTGGGCAGGCTGCCGAGAAGAATCTGAAGAATGACTGAGCTGTGGTGGGCGGAGGAAGGAGCCCAAAGCTCCCTGACGTGACTGCACGGCTGGCCAGCCAGCATTTGGATGTGTAAGTTTTGAGTTTTATCCTCAAATCCCTCATTGCTTTCCAGCTGCGCTTAGCATAGAGGGATGGGAGCCAGGGGCTGAGGACAGTTGTATGGGTCAGCCAACCTGAGCAGGGAGATGGAGGGGCAGCAGAGGCTTTCCGGGAGAACAGTCACAATGGGCTCAACACACGGGCCCCCACTGGAGCCTGGACTGTGCGGGGTGGGGGGAACCTCGGCTGAGCCACCTGCCTCCCCCGGGGAACGGGTCCTCCTGCCTCCACTGGGGGCTTGGGACCAGGGAGAGGGGAGGGGTGACCACAGGCGATGCACATGTGGTGGTGAGGGATCGGGGGCTACACCTTGGCTTCCGCCCACCTCCTTCCAGTGGGGGGTGGCTGGGATCTCTGCTTGTTGTGGTGAGGGATCAGGGGGCTACACCTTGGCCTCCGCCCACCTCCTTCCAGTTGGGGGTGGATGGGATCTCTGCTTGTCAGTCCCCCAACTCCCCTTCCAGAAGTGCCCTCTCATCCCCTCCCCAGGGTCCTGGTGTGATTTGGGGAGGTCCCTGAGGAAGAGCGGCAGCAGTGAGGCAGGCAGGGGAACCAGGCCGGAAAAGGCACTGATGCTCAACCCTTCCCACCCACAGCCAGGGCCCTGCCCTCCTGCTCAGCCATGTCTGAGGGCGAGAGCAAGGACAGCTCAGGCAGTGAGTGCCCTGTGTGCTACGAGAAGTTCCGAGAGCTGCAGGGCGCCAGCCGGACGCTGAGCTGTGGCCACGTGTTCTGCCATGACTGCCTGGTCAAGTACCTCCTGTCCACACGCGTGGACGGACAAGTCCAGAGGACCATCATCTGCCCAGTCTGCCGCTATGTCACCTTCCTCAGCAGGAAGAGCTCCCGCTGGCCCGCCAAGCTGGACAAGAGCTCCCAGATCCTGGCCGTGCCTGTGGGCCTGCCCCCAACACCACTGCCGGACGCCCTGGGCCACACCAACCCCCTGGCCCTCTCCCAGCCCATCTGGAGAGCGTCCCCGGGCCAGGGTGGCCAGCTGCCCTTGGACCCGCAGCCCAGCCTGCCCCGGGAGCCACAGATCTTCATCATCAGCCGCCATGGGATGCCCCTCGGGGAGCAGGACAGCGTCCTGCCGCGGCGCAGTCTGGCAGAGCTCTCCGGGGCCTCCCCGGCGCCCAGCTCCACCCGGTCCTTCTGCTGCCGCTCCCGGGCCCTGCTGCTCATCACCCTCATCGCCGTGGTGGCTGTGGTGGCCGCCATCCTCCCCTGGGTGCTGCTGGTGAGAAAGCAGGCATGAGTGGGGGCACCAGTCGGAGAGCCCCGCTGGAAGGTGCCCGCTCGCACAGCCAGGTTGGCCGTGGCCTGGGAGGGGCCCAGTGCAGCCCTGGGCCAGCTGAGCCTCAGGGGCAGCCCGGGGCAGAGATGGGGTGTTAGGGTGCTGACTGGAGTCACCTGGCTCTTTGCTCCCAGCAGGGATCAGAAAGGACCAGGAGGCAGGACCTCTGAGGCAAGAGCTTGGGTGGGGCAGGGGAACTCTAAGCTGCGAAGGAAACTCCAGGTTCCAGGCCAGGGAGGAAGTGTGATGGACGCCCCTCCTCAGAAACCACAGCAGAGGTACACCTCAGCAAACACGCGTCCCTCCTCTAGGCTAGAACCCAGCGAGGCTGGGGGTGGGGTGGGTAGCTGCCTCACCTGTGGGTGTCCCCATCTGCCAGGTGACCTACCCAAGGCCAGGTGGGACTCCGACTGGGGGCACCTCTGCTGGAGGGGTCCACGAGTGAGACCCCTCCAGGTCAGAACTGCGGGCCAGGGTCCCCGGCATGCTCCCAGGAGCAAGTAGAAGGGATGGGGTGGCACAGGGACCAAGGCGCATGTATTCCCCAGAATCTCAGCACCATTCCCCCACCCTGTCCCTGACCCCCACAGTTGGGTGCGTGCCTTCCTACCCCTGGAACCACCAGTCTGGAAGGTCTTCCCTAAGGGAGAGGCTGAGCTCCAGGGCTGAGGCCCAGAATGCCTGGGAGAAGGGACAGAGAAGGGGAGCTGATGCCACGTTGGGAATCAGGGTGACAGAGGTGGAGGCCAGTGGAATGGCCCACAGACAGAGCTAGGGGCTCCCCAAGCCCCTCAGCCCGACAGTGGCCCAGGTTTTGAGTCCTGGGGTTTTCAAGGATGGCCTTCCAGGTGGGCAGTGCGGAAGCTGCCTGGTGGCTGGGACCTGAGTCAGCTGAGAACTATGTGGGCACATGAGCCCCTGGGGGCTCCCACCTCCCGCCCAGCCTGTGACCAACCACTCATTAGAGGCCACACCAGCCAGGCCAGTTCCTGGGGTGGATTCCCAGGCTGGGCTGGGTGAGGAAGGGTGGGGAGGAAAACAGCTGTGCTTGGCAGGGACGCTTCTATCTCAGTGAACACGGAACCCAGCTGCTATCAGCTGCTGGCCAAGGTCACGTCACCTGGGCACCCCACCTGAGCTGGGGCTCCTTGAGGAGGACACTAGAAAAGGCTCAGGTTGGGCCTTATCTGGGGAGTGAGCCATTTGGGAACAGCTATTTCCTGTTTATTAAGGCCCACAAATCAATGGGCCATCATCTTAATTTTAGGGTTAAAAACAGCAAAAACCTCAAGCTCTCTTGAATGGGTGGTTTCTCGCAACCCAGCTGTTCCAGCAGCCATGCCCTCCACAACACACGCCTCTCTCGGCGGAGCTACTACACGTGGGGAAAGACATAGAGCACTGCCTCTTGTTGTTTGGTGGCTCAGTCATGTCCAACTCTTTTGCAACCCCCATGGACTGTAGCCCACCAGGCTCCTCTGTCCATGGGATTCTCCAAGCAAGAATATTGGAGTGGGTTGCCATTTGCTTCTCCAGGGAGTCTTCCTGACCCAGGGATCGAACCTGAATCTACAGTGTTGGCAGGAAGACTCTTTACCACTGAGCCAGCTGGGAAGCCCACCCTGCCTCTCACCTAGTTCCTAAAAGCCCGTCTGTAAGGTGGTCATTTGCGGACCATTAGGGGAGGGGGTCCACACTGCAGGAGGTGTCTGGGCACAGGGAGAGTTGATCTAAAGCACCTCTGGGCTTTCTTCTGGTATTTTCAAGTCAAGAGAACACAGGTGCTATTGGGGGAAGTACAGGTGAATTCATGGGGAAATATTTATTACAGGAAATAAAATGTTATATTTACAAAGACTCTAGTGAATCCGTTTTAATTACAGCCAGGCTGCTTTTAACAGTGTCATGAATTTCTGGGGACCTGATTTTAAGTCTTTGCAGACTCTATTGTGTTTGCCGAAAAGTTAATTGCAAAATACCTCTAGCGTTTCCATACTGTTCAGCGGTGACTTATAGATGGAACTTCTTTCATTTTCAAAGAATGTCAAAAGCTGTGTTGTTTTTTTTAAAATAAAGGTCTATATTTTCTAAAAAATTTAAGACAAATTGCAGATACATGTGGAAAGTGCTGAGCTTGGACTTCTAGGATTGTTCATTTTAGATGAAAAAAAATGGTCCAAAAACTCAGATTTGAACTGCTCTTAAACATTTACTAAGCCACATTTGTGAAAGGAATGCAAATTATAATTCTGCTTGGCATCTCAATTTTCACCTACTCAATTGTCAAACCCTAAAAGTTTCAAAACCCACTCTGATGCCAAAGCTGAGGGACAGAGGTGAGGCTGGTATGCTTGTGTGTGTGCGTGCTCAGTCGTGTCTGACTCTTTGCGATCCTGGTAGCCCACCAGGCTCCTCTGTCCATGGAATTTTCCAGGCAAGAATATTGGAGTGGGTTGTTATTTCCTACTTCAGGGGATCTTCCCCACCCAGGGATCAAACCTGTGTCTCCCACATTGGCAGGCAGATTCTTTACCACTGTGCCACTTGGGAAGCCCAGGTGGAGTCAATGGGAAGGTATATTGATAAAACCCCTATGAAGGAAACTTCCCTGGTGGTTCAGTGGTTAAGACTCCCAATGGAGGGGGCATGGATTCAATCCCTGGTCAGAGAAATAGTTCCCACATGCCTCAACAAAGATTAAAGATCCTTCACACTGCTACTATGATTCAGTGAAGCCAAATAAATATTAAAAAAAAAATAGGAAGGGAAATTTGACATTATCAAAATGTCCACTTGGACCCAGAAATTCTAGAAATGTATCTGACAGATATGCTTGCATGTTGGGGCATCAACATATGTTATACAATTGCACTATTATTCCTAAAAACCAAGAATCGGGAAAACCCTACAAGCGATGCAGAGAATATCACGCAGCTGTGCAAAGAACAAGGAAGGACCTGCAAACTGACCCGGAAAGTCAGCAAGACCTAATGGCCAATGGGCAAAGGCAAGGTGTAGAACGCTGGATGTCCGATAATACAATTTGTGTCGAAAGTGGGGGAATAAGAATTTACTTTCCAGGACACTTCCCTGGCTGTCCAGTTATTAGGACTTCCCCCTCCCAATGCAGGGGGCCCAGGTTCCATTCCTGGTCAGGGAACTAAGATCCCACATGCCGTGGGGCACAGCTGAAAGAATAAAAAAAGAATTTACTTTCCGATTTGTTTATTTGTGCATAAAGCAACTGGGAAGATTTGAAAAAAACTAGAAAGAGTGATCAGTTGTGGCAGGGGATGAGAAAATGATGGAACAGGAAAGGAACTTCTCTCTTTACCTTTGGCATTTTTGGATATCTGAGCCAAGTAAATGTATGGATTATTCAAACATTAAATTGAAAAATTATATTAGAAGCTAAAGATATCTTCAGTGTACACACCTGTTGCCTGGTGAGTGAGGAGTGGGCTCCAAGAAGGTTTGAGAGCTGCCAAACTGCTTGTTCTGTGGTTCCAGAGTGTCAGCTACCGGCTCTGAGGGGCTGGTTTGTCTGGTCCCAGGTGTGACATCTTAGGCTTAACAGGCACCCTGGGAAGGAAAGTAAAAAGTTTAATATTGTCAGTGTTCCTAAGTTCCTATGCATTTCTCTGGGTCCCACTTTTTTTTTCTTTTTTTTTGCCACATCACATGACATGTAATGAATTCTCTGTTTCTCCACTGTACCCCGCCCCATGCCCTCCCCCACAGCACATCATCCTCCCTAGACACTTCATTACAAGTCTGTCTCCTTCTAGATGGCCTGCTCCTTGAGGAGAGGCTAGATCTCACTGATCTTGGTAAGATCATACAAGTGTCTGGCACAGCAGTTAGCAAAGAATCAAAACTGGATAAATATTTGAAGCATGCATAAGTGAATGGATAAACAAGTGAACCAGTGAACAAACATGATGGCCTGGTGTCCAGAAAAAAAGTTTAGTCCAGGGATGCAGGCATGAAACCTGGATAATACCCAAAAAATACCCATAATACCCTTTAGTGTCTTCAGTTCAGTTCAGTTCAGTCGCTCAGTCATGTCCGACTCTTTGTGACCCCACAAACTGCAGCACACCAGGCCTCCTTGTCCACCATCAACTCCTGGAGTTCACCCAAACCCATGTCCATTAAGTCAGTTGATGCCATCCAACCATCTAGGGCTACTCAAAGACCACTCTCAGGATGACCCTAAGGAGCCAGTTTAAAAGGACTCGTGGGGGACTTCCTGGTGACACAATGGTCAAGAACCCGCTTGCCAATGCAGGGGACAAAGGTTCGATCCCTGCTCCAGGAAGATCCCACATTCGGCAGAGCAACTAAGACCACGTGCCATAACTACTGAGCCCTAGAGCTATAATTAGCGAAAACCATGTGCCTAGAGCCTGTGCTTCTCAACAAGAGAAGCTACCATAGTGAGAAGCCTGTGCACTGCAAGGAAGAGTAGCCCCCACTTGCCACAACTAGAAAAAGCCCATATGCAGCAATGAAGACCCAGCATAGCCATAAATAAATAAATCGCTCTTAAAAAAAGAAAAAAGACTCATGTGGGGACTTCCTTGGCAGTCCAGTGGTTAAGGCTCAACAACAACAACAAAAGGATTCATGTAAGAACAATGTGGAGAGAGAGAGCAGCCAGGTGAGGTGAACCAGAGGATCAAGTGGGGTGGAGCCATGACACCCAACAGACACTTGTAAAGATAAACAGGCTATAACTAGGCTACCAGTCATCTCCCTCTGTGGGTACAATTTCCATCCATCTTCATAAAGTGATTATGCTTCCATGTGGTGGGCTTAGGTTTAATTAGGAGGACTGTGTTGCATGGAGAGAATGAGGCAAAGAGGCCTGAAAGGGTTGGGTGACAGCGAAGAATGATGGGGAGGCTGAAGAAGCAGAGAAGACATTGGTGGGAAGAGAGGAAGATGATGATGAGACC